GGATTTATCAATGAATAATGCACAATATGTTAGCATACAAGAATGACTCGAAGATTCTGTATACCTTATTACGTCTTCTATGCTAGGCCATTGGCTGAGGGATTGCTGGGGTGGCTTCTTTTTAATACTCTTTTCTATGCTTCTTTTCCTCATTTCAGGTTAGAATCCCCCACGCGGAGGCTGAGCATGGACGCCCCAAGGGGTGTTCACGTTAAAGCTCTTGCTGGAGACATCGAGGCCCTTTCCCAGGAGGACGTGATTCTGCATAGCAGCGACGGAACGGTGAGTTCAGCGGACGGAGCTCCTGTTGTGTGTCCTCACGGGCTTCCTGAGCATCACGACCATCGAGGTATTGGAGTTAAATTTCCAGTAGTTTGTAACCACACATTGTGAAAGGCATAGAGTAGACAACGTGAAAGGAGAGCAAGAGATAATTTAGCACTGCTACAAGGATCAAGAAAGGTTAACATCATTCTGTGTCGGATGCGGACAGCTTTCTTTGGCTGGCATTTGTGCCATCAAGTCACTTGTTATTTTCAACTTTGAAAAAACACCACCGACTTTCAGAGTTCACAGAAACTACAATTTTGCCAATTCCTAGTGATCCAACTGCTCTCAGTATGACTGTCACTAGGAGTTCCCTGTACAGCCGCCATGTCATTGCCCAGAGTGCTGTGCTTGGCACACGGAATTACGTGTAAATGAAATTGAAAGGTGGAAAATGACAACATTTTTTAATTTTAAAAGCCAACTACAATAAGGATAAAATCTGAGACTTCAAGTCTAGAAACACAATGGTCTCCCAGAAGGAGGTTCTGCTTTAAAATAAAATAACATCTCTTCGACCTGAGTCTGACAGTGCACCAGACCAGGCAGGGCCAGGCTCTGCCTGCGACGCCGCTGCTGCTGGCCCCCGCACCGCACAGGGCAGGTCGGCGTCCCGGCACGGGGGCGGCAGGCAGGGGTCGATCCTAGATCGGAAGGCGTGAATGAGAGCTATGGCAAAGAGCGGAGGGAGCTCACCTTGTTGACAAGGAAGGAAATTACGCTACCCACACTTAATTCCTCCTGGCAAGTGAGCGCCCTGGAGTGGGCAAGGTTTTGCTGCACAGTGTGACGATTCTTATTTCCTTATCAAAAACATTCCCAAACCTCCATCCATGGCTATTTGTCTGCATTTCAGTTTAACTAGATGATAATATGACCAGAAAACCCAGTCCCTTTCATTTTAATTGGCTTGAGTCTGTGCCTCTACTGCTTTTCAGCATCTGATGGAAGACAGTGGAGTTTCAAATAATATTTAAAAGTTAGGGAAATTTCAACATTCGAAGGTAAAAATTACTAAGCTCTATTTCTGTGGATTGTACTATTCTGTGGATTGTAATTGGGGAGGAGACGATTTAGCATAAAGTCAAAGTAGTTCAAAAGTTAAATGTGATCAGGAGAAGAATTCCATTATTTTTGTCGAGTAGTTCTGAAAAACATTTTTAGGAGTGTAGCATCATAAAACTGAGATGCAATGCAGTTTACTGAGCACAAAAACTGTTGTCACAATGGGGGCACATTTCCCGGCTGGCCTAGCACGGGAGAAGAAGAAAGAGCGGCCTCGCTCCGACGTGGAGGAGGAATTGTCAAGCCCCCGCCTGTGTGTAAGATGGAACCAGGCTTCAAAAGCATCAGATTCACATAAAGTCAGGTGCCTGTTTCATTTTCTATGAGGAGAAAAACTAATTTGTTTAAAACATTTTGACCCTGACTTTCCTGTTGTTCAATCCTCCCTTAACATCTCACCTCTCATTTTCTCCCATACAGCTTGTGCTTGACGCTGAAACTGTGTGTTTACCCAGGTTGGTGCAGGGGACTCAGGGTCCCACTGGCAGCTCACAGGGACTTTATGAGATTTGTGTGTGTCCAGATGGGAAGCTGTACCTGTCTGCGGCTGGCATGGCCACCACGTGCCAGGAGCACAGTCACATCTGTCTCTGAGCCACCTGCCCCTTCCACGGAGCACCCCCCCCGCCCTGCTACAGGGAGCGGCGCAGTGCCGCCGGCCTCAAGCCCTCAAACCTGGGGAGTGGCCGGACATCCTGCAGGACGGGGAAGCTGACATGGGCAGGAAGCAGGAGGACACGCTTTCCAGAGCGACTCAGAAACTACATGATCTCAAAATGGCGCGTGGATGTTAGAAACAGAAGTGGAAGAAATACCAAAGCAACATATTTATTCCACT